TCCCCTTTTCTAATTAGAGATGCGATTTTGTGATATATAGTATGTCACGAGCACTGCGTTTTTCTTTTCTTGAATCACAATTCAATATATAACTGGCTTTTTAATCGCGAAATAATAGCAAATATTTTGACACTACAATTATTCGTGTTAAAATATTACTATATCACTCTTATTATTTCTGAGTTTAAAATACATTCTCAATACTATATACGTACATATACAGTTACGAAACTAATTGTCTGATTGTTATCTCAATGAGTCAAACTTTTCTTCAAATTTTGAAGAATAATCTAAACGAATCATCGATTTAATGATACACTGTTCGGACAATTAGTTTCATGATTGTATTATATCTTTTAATTATTTTAGAAATAATATATTAAAATTCTATGCATATGAATTATTATATTTATCTATTTAATTTATATTTATAAATTATTTTTTAGTGAGAATGTTGCTAGTATAATGGACGGAATGGATGGAATTAACGTGTGACACTTAATAATTTTTGTCATATTATAGTTTTAACTAGAAACCTTTTAATTAAAATCTGGCCATAAGATTGGCAACCTATAATTGGTCCAACATTTTTTTGTCGCTTTAATCCGAGCACATATCTTTGAATCTTTTTTTTCCTGCATCACTGCGAGATAAAATACATCTTTTCTCACTTCACGATTTTGACGAAAAATGTCGGACCACTTGTTATGGCCAGACTCTGATTAGAGTCTCTAGTTCTGTTTATACATATATTCATTTTTTTCTTATTTTTCGATTAAAAATTCCTTTTTTCAATCTATTTTATTCTCAGATTAACACTAGGTTTATTTTTCGTAACGATGTTCATTTCGATGTGGATTTCAAACACTGCCGCTACAGCTATGATGATACCGATAATGGAAACTGTTCTCATAGAGCTTGAATCGGTGAGTTTCCATCTTTTCCGAAATCTTGACTATAAGACGCGAAAGAAAATAATTTTTCAAATTTATTTATCTCAGCAAGGACTTGGAAACATGTTCGTACAAAAGGAAGGAGTGGTCGAAGAAGAGGGCAGAGAAATGTAATTATTTATCGTTATACATGCTCGTACACATATTTCGTAACTTTGAGCCCGGAATTAATTCAACAACACTTTAACGAATGTAATTGTCAAGTTTTAAACTTAAATATTAATTATTAACAAAGTTATTATATAAAATGTAACTGGGGTGCCATAATACCACCTTCTCCTTTATTAATTAAATTTAAATATTAATACTGAATTCCACACAAGTTTATCCATTTTATTTGTTCGATCATAAATCATAATACATATCTATATTGCTAATTTTTCTTTCTTTTTTTAAAGCAAAAGGCCAACGCATAGTACCATGGTATATTATCTCGTCGCGGCTTACGCATCTACTCTCGGTGGTATCGGCACTATTGTAGGAAGCGGTACCAATTTAACATTGAAGGGATTTTTAGAAAAGTATGTGCTCATAGTAAATAACAAATTTTGTATAAAATATGTTACTTTTAATGTTAGACGTAGTAAGATATCTCAAGACGTTTATAATGTATAAAAGAATTATGACATACATAAAATAGATATTTATATTTACAAATTAATTTTATAAATTTTTAATTCCAGTGTAACATATTTAATTTTTTCGATATTTAGGATTTAGAAGAAATAATAATAACAATTATAAAATTTACTTTCATTTCCACACAGGCGTTTTCCCAACAGTCCCGGCGTAAATTTCGCCTCTTGGATGTTATATTCGATGCCACCCATGCTGTTAATGGGTTTGCTCACATGGTTGTGGCTGCAGGTGATGTACATGGGTCTTTTTAGATCAGACAGCAAAGATGCTCGAGCGATAGATATTGGACAACAAGGCGAGCGTATCGCAGCGGCAGTTATTGAGAAAAGGTACAAGGAACTTGGGCCGATCTCGTGGCATGAGTTCTCCGTGGGTGTCCTATTTATTTTTGTGGTGCTCTTGTGGTTCTTTAGAAGCCCTGGTTTTATGCCGGGCTGGGCTGCTTATGTTACGAATTTGTAAGTATTGATGAGAATCAGTATCATAAAATATGCATTTTTCATTTCGAAATCAAACTTCATTTATGGGTTATCAATCAATAAAAATAATCAAAAGATAAGAAAAGAATAACAAAAATTAATTTTACATTATACTTTTATAATTCATAATTTCGGTAAAATTATGAGTATAATTTTCTTAAACTCATAATTTTTTAAATTTAATAAAATGTACATCTAGACATAACCCAAAATATAATCAAAATAACGAAATATTAAAATATGTAAAACAAAAAAAAATAATATAAACATGAACAATTATAAAATAATAAATTAAAACGAATATAAAATAATCGGAATTTTTACATTCATAGGTCTGTCAAGGATTCGACAGCAGCCGCGTGTGTAACGATACTGTTTTTTATTATTCCGTCGAAATTGGACTTTTTATACGCATTCAGTAAAGATCCGCGTAAACGACCCACAAAAGCATCGCTTAGTTTAATAACTTGGAAAATGATAAACGAGAAAATGCATTGGAGTCTAATATTCGTGTTAGGTGGTGGGTTTGCCATCTCAGCAGGTAGTACTTCATCAGGTCTGTCAGAAATGCTCGGTCACTACCTGATAGGTCTGCAAAAGATTAACGTGGTAGCAATAATGCTGATTGTCTGTCTCTTTGCCGAGAACGTGACGGAATTAACGGCTAACGTGGCCGTCGCGAATATTATATTGCCAGTATTAGCGGAGATGGTGAGTATAGCGAAATTAATGATAAACTTTGATATAACAGAGATCAATTATTGATATTTCATTCTAATATATTTTAATATAAAAAATCTCATTAATGTAACTTATTTTTAATATTTTAATATTACAGGATTATAAAATGGACTAATTGATATGAAAAAAACTATTTACATTTTTAAAAAGTATGCAATGTAGATTGTAATTTACACGCATTATATTTCTTAAGTTATAATTTCCTTTAGAAAATTTTTATTTGAATCATTTTTTAAAGATATATATAAGAGATTTATTTGAATCATTTTAAATAAGAGACAATATTTTTGATATATTAAAATGAATATACTCTACATGTATGGCATGTCTATGTAATGTCTATGCTCTTTGCCAATATTTTCTCACATGCAATAATATATAAGTTATATATTTACAACTGTAAAACTATATTTTTTTATTTAAAATACTTTTTGTTGAAAACGTTTGCTAATTAAAATTTACAGAAAATTTCTTGATTGCAAGACAAAATCTTACTACTTACAATATAAATAGTATAAGCTAGTTTCCAAGGATTATACCAGTATTTTCTTTTTCTTTTTTTTTCAGTGTGTGGCTATTAAAATACATCCTTTGTATTTAATGCTACCAGCAACTATCTGCTGCTCCTTTTCGTTCCATCTACCAGTAGGTACTCCACCAAATGCAATTGCTAGTGCCGCGGGGCATATAAAGACAAAAGATTTTATGATTGCTGGTATCGGTCCTAGCATCATCACGCTCGTTATCACTGTAATAGCATTCTCTACTTGGGGTGAATACGTATTTAACCTATCGGATTTTTCCGAATGGACCACGTAGCAGTACTTATATAGCATAAACATTCTTTTATTCGGTATATTTCATTATCATTCCGCCAAAGAGCGAAGAATGATCTTCACAACGACAAGAGTACTACTCGCATTACATATATTTTTTTTCTCGTCGTTCTTTTCTCTAATCGAATTCATTTTCTACTTTTTTTTACAAATTCCAAATATTATATATGCAAAGCTTTAAGGTAAGAAATAAACATAATTATAAAACAGTCTTAGTGAAAAATATAGACTGTAGAGTCTACAAATCGAATCATACCTTATGTATCATAAACGTTATCATAGAGAATTATCATATTAAACATAATAATGAATGTATATCTTTAGAATTTCAGTTTTATGTAAAGTTTTTCATGAAATATTTTATATCTATTACATTTATAATACCAAGTAAATTCTCAGATGAGCAATAATAACTTTGAGTTTATAATCATTGCCTTTATACATTTAAAATAATTGTCCCAATCAAAAGCTAATGAATATCGATATCCATATCAATAAAAAGCTAATGAATATTGATATCCATGTCATAAAAAAGCAATTTATTTATATGTACTATAGAATATTATACATTTTATGCACTATACATTATCACTAACATTTGAAATATACAGAGTGCTTCATATAACAGTATGTTACACAACAGTATGTAATAAAGCCTTTAACGATCAAGCTGAATCTTAAGAAGAACCTAAAGCCGTCTGTATTACCGACTAAATCATACAATTTTTGTATAACAATTACTTTTTTCCTCTTTTACAGATTCGAAAATCCTTTTCCAAAATTAAAGCATACGCATTAATACGTGTTTGTGAGATGGAGTTTATGCCGAGAACGATAAAAAATTTCAAAATTGAAATCTTTACCATTTCTTAATCCAATATGATGCTCTAAAACTGTCACGTCATAACAATTTTTATATAAAAAAAGTGCATTTTTTCTCATTTTGTCGACTATAATTAGTTATAACATTTATATACAATTTTTTATAAACATACAACTTTACAAATATTTTCTAGAGATGTAAAAGTATACATAAGAATCACTTAAAAATTTTTATATACTTGATAAGTAATGAAAATTCTCAGGATACAAAAAACCCATTGTGTGATGCCAAAAATCATCATATGTATTAAGGGTTAAAATACATAATATATTCCATACATGGAATATTAGTACACATGCTCATAGTCATTAAAAGAATTACAAATATTTCATGTCATCTGTAATAATTTTAAATTTATAATAAACAATCATCGTAGCTTGTTAATGGATTTGATTTTTTGAATTTGTAATAAACAGACAGTTATAGGCTCGTAGCCTTTGATTTATTTATTTGTTGTAATTTTACTCACCATCCACGTTAGAATCATGACTGATGTTTTCCATTTTTTCTGCCATTTCACCGAGATTTTATGAAGAGGATAAAATCAGGAAACACTTAACTCGATAAAAATGTCCTACACTTTAATAAACTATATTAGCGAAATTGAAAAAATGTATCCGCAAGTTCAATAACTAGCAAAATAAGGTTAAAACAATTTTCGAATTTTATATTTCGTTTCGTTAAGAACATTATAACCAACAAATGACACAGTTTAACTACAGCATCTCAGAAATCAACAAAATTAGACTTATTCGACGTTTTTGCATGAAACGAAAGAATTTAGCGGAAACAATCATCACTGTCCCGAGAACCGAGATATCAAACGTTAAAATTTACGACTATTGAGGTTAGGAAATCTATCGCAGCTGCGAAATACTAGGTCTGTTCTTTTTCGCTGAACTTCTTTCACGGTTCATTTTTTTTCTTTTTCTCTCCAACGTGGAGAGAAAAGGAAGAAAGATGAGCTAGCGAGAACCTTAGATAAAAAGAACAGACCTACTGCAACACGAGGAACTACGAGCCGGTCACGTTATGGCCGTATGCGCATGCGTTTTTGGTCTCGCTACAGTAGTGCACGAAATTTGAACGTAAACATTTTGAAGCAAGTAATCCAGGTGAAAAAGTTTCGTTGAAATTATTCCATGTTTTGGAACATTTCAGCGAAATTGCTGAAAATTTGCTGAAATTTCACTGAAAGTGAATTTTTCAGCTAACATACTGAAAAATCGTTAAAACTGAACTGAAATTACTCTGAAATTTTGTTGAAATTTCTCTTAAATTTTTGCTGAACTTTTTATAAAATTTTGCTGAATTTTGCTAAAAATTAATTTTTCAGCTAAAAAATTAAATTAAATTGAAATTTTGCCGAAGTGTTCCAAAACGGAATATCAGCGAAATTTTTCCACCAGGAAAAGTGCAATACTTAAAAAGACCTTGCTCTCTGCTCTTGCTATGTGTGAAAGTTATTGTAAACTGGAATCGTTCATGGATTTATAACTTTCCACGCGAAGCGCGGTTCCACATATAAGTTTCCAAGTTTGCACATACATTTAATTTAAAAAAAAAAAAAAACTTTGGTTTTACGGTTGCTCGTAGATTCTTCTGTTCCATGCAAAATTGCGTCGAGCAAGACTAATTTTATTGAATTTTGGGATACTGTAGCTAAATTGCATGTAATTACCGTTTTTTTCGAGTCACTTAAATTTTAACAGTCTCGCAAACTTTTGTAAGACCGACCGTTTTTAACTATATCTCGTCGGTGAATCATGCAATACATTGTACATTACCTCAGAAGGAATAGCGTTGATAGCGCGCAATTATGACGTAAAATGTTACCATTAGTGACATCATAATAGTTTGTTAGCGCTATCTGCAGCTCCGCAAACAGCTTATCAATTCTCAGCTCATATTCAGCTCGTCAATTTATGTTGCCGTATACACAAAAGTGTCTAATGATTTTGCAATTGGAAAGCATCTATATGTATATTGTATTTACGAGCGTTCGTAAAATTCAGTAGAAAAGGATACGTCTGCACATATATTCATAAAATGCATGAGAAAGGGAGGAAGAGTATAGGAAAATAAATAACATATCACTTGAAAATATATTATATTATGTATTTAATGTTCAGCTAATATTACCAGTGTAACGATCTCACATAAATTTTGACCTTATCTACAACACAGCCTAGTTTCATACTTCAAAATATATTTGTATATTATCAAATATACTTTCATGATACTTTTTAACATGCTTTGATTATAATATTTATATTATTAATTTCTTTCTTCTCAATAACATATTAATAATTATGCTCATCAAATAAATAAACGTACATAAATTAAATACGTAAAAATAATTGTGTTCCAAAATTGTATTTCAAAATATAAGATATTAAAATTACAAAAGCATTTATGAACGTTATACATTAGTCCATAATAGCTAATTTAACAAAAATAAATTTTATTTGCATTATACTTCTAATTTTTAAATTACTTCTTTGCCCTTTTGTGTTTTTTGAAGTATCAAATTAAATATTGGAAATCGATTATAAAAATAACCAAGCAAAAAGAATAGAAAAAAGAAACTTAGGGGTAAAGTATTCCTGAATTTATCAAGTCAGATTTCTAAATTATTATTCTATATATACTGACGATAATTTCTGTGCAAAAGTGGGCTGAATTTTTGGTGCTTTATATATATACACACACTAGTTATATATTTCGTTGTATCCATTTTAGTGAATTTTTAACATTAGTGAGCGTTACCCTGCTAAGAAAGCTTGCAATTAATTGATATTCTGGCATTGTGCGCCTTCCATAAAAATGCTTCGAAGGTGTTGGTTTATATGCGTTATGTCTATTGATATCGTTTGTATCAACATGCGATTCATAAGACAGGAGCAAATTTTCTTTCCGTCCTTCACAAAGAACTTTTGTGGTTAAGCACAAAAGCCATTGCATAATCTGTACGTGCGATATACAAAAGTTTTGTATTAAATAATTTTGTTAATAAATATCAGATAAACACTCTAATAAATGTATTATGTATATTTACTGTATGTATTTACCTCATTGCTGGATGGTAACCGTCCCTCACTTTTTTTTAACCATGAGCTAGGTGCCCATAGATACAGTTGCATTATAGTTGCCGCTAATTCGCTATCGAGTCGCTATGTAAATGTTAGAGAAAGAAAAAAAATGTTTTAATATTTTTTTTCTATGCAAGACTACGATTTTAAAACTAGATATTTTTGAGCAAATTGTTGCCTTTTTACAAACCTTATACAAATTTCTTGACAATGCATTTTTTATAACAATATTGATAATATGTGGGAGACTGTCTGGCAAAGCAGGAAGCTCGTTTTCAGTATAGTGATAATTATTTAAAACAGCTTTCTCATCTTTTTTGCCATGAAATGGATTTTGCATCCCAAATATTTCATATGCTATAGTTCCTACTGTCCAAAGATCAGCTTTAGTATAATTTATATTAGTAAAAGGACCTGGTTCTGCTGTTATCACCTCTGGTGCCATCAGTGCAATATTACCGCCTTTATTGATATCATGAGAATTATAAGGCAGATATAACCCGTGAGTTTTATCGGCTAGACAACAACCAAAATCTGTCACAACTAGAGACGGAGAATTATCAGTCTCTTCTGACAGATCGAGTAAAATGTTGTCACTTTTCAGATCTCTAATTTGTAAACGTTAATAAAAAAAAGAAAAGAATATAAGATAAATCTCATCGATTTATAGAACAAATATCATCATTGCATGTAATTAATATAAAATAGCAAAGATAGAAAAATATTCAATCTTACCGATGCGCTACGCCATTTGCATTCATATGAGCTACTGCTTCTAAAAGCTGAGCGAGCAATAATATTGACACTCTCGTATCAACGTTTCGACTTGTTATATATTGTTTCAAAGTGGTGTCATATCTAAAATAATGCGACATGTTAGATATCATGAGAATATACTATAAATGTAATCTTGTCCTATTTAAAAAAATAACCTTTTCATCACCAAAAATAAACTCATATTTCTGCCCGATCCTTGAGGATTAATTCTACTTGGTAAAGCATCAGGATACATTCTCCAAGAACCAGGTAATACTGGTATCATGTCAGTAAAGACATAATACATTGCCACAATGTTTGGATGAGATGGTAGTATGATTTTATTTTCTGTTAATTTTTGCTCCCAAGTAGTCAAGTTATTATTTCTATAATGTTTCCTAGCTGGTACTGTCTCCCTATACATGGCGTTTAGAATAGCAGCAGCATTGGATTCTGCATCATAATTGAACATCATTTTTATAGCTAATGGAAACTCATTTGAATCTTGCGTCTTAACTTCAATATCCATTGAATTATCTTCGTTCCACGTATTTACAAATCGTGCTGCATATACAGCAGCAGAACAACCTTTAGCAATTACAGGTCCCATTACAAAATTTTGTAACGTTACAGTATTCTCATCAGTTTGAACAATTTGATCGTTTTCAGGCATATAATTCCATTGCAATTTCGAAACTGCTTCCTGAACATAACATACTATATCTTAGACTACATTTCATAAGCTAAGAATGGTAACATATAATATTTCTATATTATATTAGTGGTAACATATTTGTGAAAAATAAGCTATATTTCAGTATTTAGATTAAACTGAACAAACAAATGCATTTACCCGAATTTCCCAACATACTCCTTCCAGTTCGTCATCCTTTGTCAATATTCCTGTACCTGACGCTAATGATATACCAACAAGAGCAAAAAATGGCGCGGAATCACCAAAAACAAGTCTACTCGCTGTACGTCTTCGTAAATCTGCTGCGAGACTGTTGGTCACCCTTTTCAAAATATTGTCAACAAAGATACGTCGAGCGTGTGTTCCCAAATAACCAAGATGTCTTCTTGTATTCCATACATTGCCACTAGTTTGGCAAAGAAGACCACTGTTCTGGGATTTGTCTGTCATGAACATAAACAGAAAACTATTATATACAAATTAACATTTTCATCGGAGATTACATGTTACTAACAGTATACAAAATATTTACAGATCAAAGACAAAGCAAAATAATGTTATGTATAATAGAAAATAGAATATTGACAAATCATCCACGTTTATTACATGAAATCAATTTACAATAATGCTATTTTATCATAATCTTCATGCTCTAATAGGTAGAGTTATACCATATCTCTGAATCACAACAAAAGAGTACATATACTTTTTAAAAAAAGATGATTCAAGGATGGAAGATGAGAGTATAATTTTTTAAATGCATTTAATATTACAGCTCTATTTATAGGCAATTAATTTACAATTCAATGGAATCATTTAAAAATGTAAAATATAAATATTTATACATTACAAAAATATATTTTACAATGCTATTATTTGTGTTACAATATCGAAGTTGATGGCAAAATTGATTACAACAAAGTCAGGCATAATTTACCTATCTGTGCACCGTGTATCTTGTCGAGGTGTTTGTCCGTATATCTATTCGAATGGAAGCGCTCGTTATTTCGTAATGAGCGCAGTACGATGCGACCATTTTGCACGAGACGATGAACCACCGTCCGGATTGACATTTCTCTGCTTTCTTGGGCTGAGATAGCCCAGCGGGCAAGCCCGCAAGTCAGGTACGCTTTGAAAGCGGATGACAAAGCCGTTGTGAAAGCCTCAATCTTTACGTTGTTTATTTTCTATAATTATGTAATAAAACAAATACAATACGACGCACTTACGCCACTTATAACTACTTAAAACGCATCATGTTTTGTAACGATATATATGTAAAAGATTGAAGTCTGTTTTTTATTTCTACGCTAAACTACACTGGACTGCACTAGAACACTGGGGACGGTATTCATAGTACGTTCCTATTGGTTCCTATGAGAGAATTGACGTCCGAGTTTTTGATTGACAGTCTGATGTATATTCTGATTGGCTATCCCTTCCTAAGTGAAGCAGCATGTTGTGTATCAGCTGTTTGCACAGCTGATGCACGTAGCCGCTACGCTGAATTGTATGCTGTACGATTAGCATTTTTCTCTTCTGGGACCCTATTCTCGAAAAGTATTGCATACGAAAAACTAAAGAAATACTATAGTATACGTCACATATATTATAGTATTTTCCTAGTTTTTCGTATACTTTTCACGATACTTTTTAAGAATAGGGGCCCTGAACATCTAATATGTAATATTGTATGTATGTATATACATCACATGCGAGGATAGATGACTTTTTAAGCAACAATTATGTTTAGTCCAACGTTAAAAGTTTGTATCGGTTTATACATACTTAAAAAACTACTTTACAAAAAGAAAAACGGCTTACACTTTTATTACTTAATTTTTTACGAAGTTTCACGCTACATTATTAGGGAGCGTTTATATTGACCAATCACAGTCGAGTGTTCCTCTCATTCGATTACAAGAAGGGAATACTCGAAGATGATTGGTCAATTTTTACAGATTACGGCATACGGCTCTCTGATTGGTTCATACACTAGCTTAAGACCATCTCGAATCTTGAGCACCGTCTATGGATTCCACCCATTATTTGTGATGACAAATTATTTGTCATCGATATTATTAGTTAATGCAAATGAAATAGGAACATAATTGGGCATCAGACTCAATAGGTAACTCTGTTCACAATATACACGAATCTTCTGTTCTTTCCAATCTTCTTTGATCATTAGCTGCGTTCAGCAGACTCAACAGTTTTGCAACCGTTTTATGATTGTCTGCTGAGATAGGACCATTCTTCTAGATCTAAAAGTATGATCCAATCAGCTCGAA